CGCTGCCCCGCGCGGAGCCATGGTGAGTCCCGGGTCGCAGCCCTAGTGTCCCCTCGATCTTTACGCAGCCCCCTTCGGATCCCTTGGTCTGCAGCCCGGTGCCCCCTTGGCCTGCCTTCGGACTGCTGAGAGCTCCAGGGACTGCCCTCCACCCGCTTCTTCCCTTTGGGCTGGCGCTGGCGCTGTCCCCGCCGCCGGGTCATGCCTTCGCCTTTTCTTTCTTCCTCCTCTTCTGCGCCCCTCCCCCACCCTCCCGTTAGGCTCTCCCCCTGGCGTACACACCTCCCCCCTCCCCATCCCCGTGCTGACCTGTGCTTCCCTTTACAGGATCGGCTGCCCCCCATCCCCCTCCCCCTCCGGGCGCTAGTTTCTTCACCGCAGGACACCCCCTACGGGATGGTCTTGCGGCGACTCTGGAAGAGGGCCCCAAGGCGCCCCCTCCACCCCCCGCCCCCGGCCGCAGGTCATGAGAACCACCATTTTCCATCCCAGTCCCCAGCCCGGTGAGGCGGGCCCACCCATCCGGCCCTAGGGGACCGGCCACAGATGTGGCTGGGCCGGAGCCAGGGGCATGATCCTAGGGAGCGAAGAGTCTGGTAGCAGACCAGGGTAGCCGACAGAGTGGGGAGGTGGGCTCACAAGGCCAAGGGGGGCGTGACGCCGGGCCGACGAGGCGTGGTGGGGTGGCGGGGTGTCCCCGAGCGAGTGCAGACTACAGGGAACAGAAGAAGCGCGGCCTCAGAGATTCCCCCCGCAGCGCAGAGGCAGCAGGGCGGCCTCCCTGCGGAAGGTAGGGCACCCTGGCGGCGGGCAGTTCGGCGCACAGGAAACAGGAGGACATTATCAAGGGGACACCCAGGCCAACAAGAGTGGGCAGTGACCTGGGAACTTTCACTCCTGGAGTACTCTGAAGAACTAGTGCCGGGACCATGCTGGTACTGCCACAGAGAGAGCCCCCTGCAAGGAGCGGGAGGGCCACAGCCCAGGAGATGCCTACTGCAGAGAGTGAAGGGGGTGGGGGCAGGCCCTGCCTGGGGGACTCTGCAGGGAGTGGAGGAGGGGTAGGAAAACTCGGGCCGCTTTCACTCCATAGGGAAGGGCACCCCCTGGCAGGGAGGATGGGGCAAGAAGAAGAGGAACTGGGCCCTGGAGTACTGACTCAGTCACCCAGGTCCCCACTTTGGTCCCTGCCCACTGCCCCCGCCCCAGACCCCTCCTCCCCTCCTGCCGCTGCCGCTTCCTGTGGCTGGGACTCTCGCTCAGCCATGAGCTCACCGCCCCTAATGGATTGCAGCTGCCTCGCCGCTCCAGCTCCCCACTCCAGGCCTTGGATCAGAGGAGCCACCGGCATCACCCCTCCACCCCGCCCCACCCCCCCGCCCATACCCCCCCCCACCCCGCACACCACCCACACTCACAGTGCTTGCTCTTGCCCAGAACACTGGGGGGGTCTGTCTGCTCGCCCACGTACCTTGGGGCCTGGTCTCTGTGCTGACGCACTGAATGTCCCTCTCCAGAGTGGCTGCCCTGGCTTCTCAGACAGTAGGAGAGCCTCCGAGCGCTGTACAGTATGTGGATTCAGAGAAATGGCAGGGCATGGGGGGGGGGGGGGGGGGGGGGGGCGGCAGGGCAGCATAGGAAACCAGGGAAACATGGCAGGGCCATCCCCCTTCCTCATTCACAGCATATACATTTAGTCAGAGGCACTTCAACACCCATCTTAAAAGGCAGACAAGTTTGCAAAGAAACAGCCCAAGGAGTGGCTGTGTAGCATCTGGTCTGGGGGAAAATGTTGTCCTGTGGACTCGGTCAAGTTTTGATGTAGCAAGGCCGACCTTGTGAGCCGGCTGGCTCCAGGTAGAAACTGGCAAAGAGAGGTCCTTTGGAATTGGGAGGGGGGGAATGGGGGGATGGGGGGGTGTCCACTGGAATGCATACCACCAAGGCCTCTCCTCCCCTTCCACACATGCGCTTTTGTGACTTTTGCCTCCTTCCGGTGCCCACCCCAGGTCTTAGTAGCCATTCCCACAAGCTCCAGAGAACCACTCTGGGAGAGGGGTGCTTGTAAGACCCAAGAAACCACCAACGCCACCCACCCTCTCTAGGATACGGCGAGATGGATGGGGCTTTCACTTAGGATATAGGTGGGGCACCACCTCCCACCCCCAAGTTCTCATCAGTTCAGTGCCCCCATTGCCTCCCGAAGAACTCCTGTGCCACTGCCCTGATTCACAAGAACCAGGAGTAGCCAAGGGCTGTGGCGATCACAGCTCATCCTCCCGGGAGCTCCCCAAACCCAGACCTGAGATGCATTCTGCACAGCCCACCTAGACCTGTGCTCACTGGCCGGCAGAGCCAGCACTGCAGCCTCCAGTCAGTGTTCCTGAGTGCCCACTCTGCACACTGTACAGCCAGGCTGCTGGGGACACAGCCACCCCTGCTCTGCAGCCTGGTCCTATCTCTCCTAGGAGCCCGAACCAGTGGAGGACTGTGTGCAGAGCACACTTGCCGCCCTGTACCCTCCCTTTGAGGCGACAGCCCCCACTCTGTTGGGCCAGGTGTTTCAGGTGGTTGAAAGGACTTATCGGGAAGATGCACTGAGATACACGCTGGACTTCCTGGTACCCGCCAAGCACCTACTTGCCAAAGTTCAGCAGGAAGCCTGTGTGAGTGGCTGAGTGTTCTTGAGATTCACCACCCTCCTCCAGAGGCTAGTGGGTCTGACCAGCTTCCCTCAGTCTGAGATACAACTGCCCCTGATCCTGGGTCCCCACCACCCATGCCCAGGCACCAGAACCCCATTCATTGACCTCCCCCCTCCCCACTTGGACCCTGATCGTTCGGATACTAGCATGCAGTCTGAAGGAGACCCAATTCCAGACACTCCCCTCTCAGACCAACTTAGTCTCAAGATCCCAACTCCCCAAGACAGGACTTAACAGAGAGCCTGCGTTTCTCAAACGATAAAACCTCTTAAGAGTTTCTCACTCCTCTAAGACGATAGCAACTGCTGACCATGTCTTTGTAATGACTCAGTTCTTGCCTTCCCACATACGGACTGGCTTTCTTAAGATCCCCTACCAACAGGAGCCTGAGCCTCCTCGTGCCCTTCTGTGAGCCACGTGAACACACCCAAAGCCTTCTGCTGCCCCTGGGGTTCCTAACCACCAGTCACAAGGCCAGCCCTGCCCAAAGGGGTCCCATGCTAACTGTCCTCTGCGTTGCTTGTGCAGCAGAGGGCCGATTGCAGCCTCCCTCTCTCCCCCCAGGCCCAGTACAGCGGTTTCCTCTTCTTCCACGAGGGCTGGCCTCTCTGCCTGCACGAGCAGGTGGTAGTGCAGCTAGCCTCGCTCCCCTGGCAGCTACTGCGCCCGGGAGACTTCTACCTGCAAGTGGTGCCCTCAGCAGCCCAAGCACCCCGCCTGGCACTCAAGTGCCTAGCCCCCGGGGGTGGGCGGGTGCAGGAGCTGCCGGTGCCCAGTGAGGCCTGCGGCTACCTGTTCACCCCGGAGTGGCTGCAAGGGATCAACAAGGATCGGCCCACAGGTCGCCTCAGCACCTGCCTCCTGTCCGCTCCTGCTGGGATTCAGCGGCTGCCCTGGGCTGAGCTCATCTGCCCGAGATTTGTGCACAAAGAAGGTCTCATGGTTGGACATCAGCCAAGCACACTGCCCCGAGAACTGCCCTCTAGCCCCCCTGGGCTCCCTAGCCCTCCACTCCCTGAGGAGGCCCTGGGCGCCCGGAGTCCTGGCGATGGGCACAATGCCCCCGTTGAAGAGCCCGAGGGCGAGTATGTGGAGCTGCTGGAAGTGACACTGCCCATGCGGGGAAGCCCTCCGGAGGTGGGGGGCCCCTCTGGTCTCTCCAGGACCCGGACAGTCCCCACCCGCAAGGGCCCCGGAGGGAAAGGCCGGCACCGAAGACACCGGGCTTGGATGCACCATAGGGGCCAAGGACCTCAGGACCAGGACGGGGCACGCCCACCCGGGGAGGGGAGCAGTGTGGGGACAGCCCCTGGGTCTCCCCTAGAAGCTGAGGCTCTTCCCCAGGCAGCCATGCTGGAGGGGCCTGAGGCCCCAGCCCGGCCCACAGGGGAAACTTCTGAGTCCTGCCTCCGCAGGCCAGCGGAGGTCGGGCCCAGGGCAGGGCAGGGGGCTGAAGGGCCACCTGGTACCCCTCGGAGAACAGGCAAAGGAAACAGGAGAAAAAAGAGGGCTGGGGGCCGAGGCGCTCTCAGCCGAGGAGGAGAGAGTGGGCCCCTTAGCCCTGGGGACAAGGAAGAGAGTGGCCACCAGGAGGCACCTGTCAATCTCCCGCTGCCAAGTGACGACCCTGACATCCCAGAAGGCAGCCTGGGTAAGGAGGAGCAAGGAGACTCGGGGAAACCCAAGTCTGAGCCACAAGAGGAGCTGGGAGTCATCGAGGAAAAGGACCCGTGGCCTCCAGAGGCCTGTGAGCCTACAGAAAAGGGAGCCCCGGAGACAGAGCAAGAGGGTCCAAGCCTGATGTGTATGGCAGGTAAGCTGAGTCCCAAGTCCAATCAGGCAAGGAGCAGAGCAGATCAGGTTGAGAAGGGGCTGGAGGAGGCACAGAGGCTAGTCTGGGAACAGCAGCCAGACCCATCCTCACAGCTGGCCCACAGCTCTGCCCGTATCTGTCCAGGACCCACAGGCCCTGATGGACTCCTGTCTGAGCCACCGCTGGAGACTGGGAGGGAAGGAAAAGGGGACGGCACCCCAGAAGAGGCCCCTCCAAACTCCATCTCTGAGGACCCTGACATACCTTGGGACTTGATGACATCTGGATTCCTTGTCCTCACTGGTCAGTGGGCATCAGTGGGTGAAGGAAAAGGAGGCTGGGGATTTGGGGGGAGGGCAGTTGAGGAGGGTTTGGAAGTGAGGCAGGCCGGATGGGAGGTGGCCAAGCACTACCCCTAGGCAGGACAGCCTGGTCCTTTTGTGTCCTCAGGAGGGGTGGACCAGAGTGGGCGAGCTCTGCTGACCATTACCCCATCGTGCTCTCCTGAGGAGCCCCCACCCACCCGAGCCACGCTGAGCACTGCCCTTCATTACCTCCACTCACTGCTCAGGTAACTGAGGCCCAGCACTGGCACCCAGACATTAGCTTCCTGACTGGTGCACCAGGCTGACCTCTCGGGACACTGACCGCTTCAGCCCTCAGACTGCCATGGCCTTGACCTCTGACCTTACTGACTCTTGACCTTCATCGATCCTCAAAATGAACACCTCGGGTTTTCAATATCCTAAGGCCCTGCTTAGATGATCAGGGCATGGAGGTGCTCATTCGATGACTCTGTTGAGCACCAGTACCTGTTGCCGTGCCAAGGACTGGCGTTGAATCCATACCTTCCCAGAACATAGAGTTTCCTAGTTTTCCTGATCCTGATCCTGGACCCAGTAGCCCCATGAACATATACTCCAAATTGCTAAATGAAAAATAAATAAATAATTACTAAGTCATCCCCACTTTGACACATATCCCAGAGGCTTGCTGCTTGACCCTTTGCCTATTGCCTCCCAGGACCTCGCTTCTCCGGAGAGCTGTTAAAACTAAAGGCAGGCCCTGTGCCCTATGCTGCCCTGCCACAGCCCACCTCTCCCAACCCACAAAGCAGTCTCTGTGACCCTTCCTGCCTCCACAGGCCTGACCTACAGATACTGGGGCTAGCTGTGCTGCTGGACCTTCGGAAGGCACCCCCACTGCCTCCAGAGCTCATTCCTGCCCTGAAGCAACTTCAGGTAACCACCCCCTTGAGACAGACACTTTCCCCTACATCCTCACTCCTCCCTGGGGACCATTTCAGGCCACCCAGCTGCCCACAGCCCACCGTGATGTGTGTCTTCTAATAGGACTCGGGAGACCCTCTCATCATTCAGCGGCTGCTCATTCTCACTCATGACGATGACCCTCCAACTGATCTCTCCGGATTCCAGGTTTGGCTCTAACCCCCACCCTAGTCCTGCCTCGGAAGTAGAGGGCAGCCTGGCTGGAGCCCCAGGCCAAGGCCTGACTCCCTGGGCCCCAGGCCAGAAACCCCCTGCCTTCACATGTCTGCAGAGTGCCGAGTTGCTGTCAGAGAGTGACCTGAAAAGAGTGGCCAAACCAGAGGAACTTCAATGGAACTTGGGCGGTCACAGGGACCCCTCTCCCGGCTACTGGGCAGAGATACATCAGGTAACCATTGCCTCGTCTACCTAGGCCACAGGATCAGGAACATTCTAGAAGACTCGCTCCAGGAGAGAGTGGTCTGAGACATGGCCAGGGAATTGGAAAAACATGTCTTCTGTTCCATTCAATTCAGCAAGTGCCTGCCGAGTGTGTACCCTGAGCAAGATCATGCGCACGGTGCCGTGGGCTGTCGGGAGGAGTGTCTTCAATAAATTCTTAATATGACATTAAATAGCATACGATTTGAGGTGGGACGTAAACCATAAAACAAAGTAGAAAATCTTATCGCTGAGATGCAGAGGCAGAGTCAGGAAAACCCATCATGGTGCCATGTGACCTTTGGTTACTTCCCCACCTGCCCTGAGATGAGGCCCTTCTCCGTACCTGTACCAGCATCCAGGCCTCAGGCTCCTGGCTCACAAGTGCTACGGTTGTGATTGGATCTCCATGGTCCTTCCAGCACTTACCTTTCATGATCTTTCAAATCCAAGTGCTGTGTGTATTCTAGAAGAGACAATACCGAGATAGCCGAGCTGCGTGTTTGGGGGTGGTCTGTCATATGGTCTCGAAGCTGTGTGTGAAGGGGGCAGTGTACATGAATGCACAGAGGGAAAGGTTTCGCAGGGGCCTGCTCTGTGAAGGGGGCGCGGGACTCATATTTACTGAGCTGCGCAGTGCGCCAGCCTAGGCCGGCTACGGAGCCGGCTTCATCTCTTTACCCCTCAGAAAACCCTGCCTCGTCCTCACTCCACAGTTGAACAAACTGAGATTCGGGAAGGTTCCTGGACCTGCCCATAGTTGCCCAACTAGCAAACAGCCAAGTCAGGAACTGAACCCAGCTTTGCCTCCATAAAAGAGCCTCTGGGGCTCCCATGCTGCAGGCACCCACATCTCATCTCTGCCCCTTGACCCCGCCTCAGGAAGTGGCAAGGCTGTGTCTTCTGTGTCAAGGGGTGCTGGCCTCTGTACGACAGGCAATTGAGGAGCTGGAGGGAGCAGCCCAGCCAGAGGGAGAGGTAGGAAATGAAACCGGTTGGGTGGCAGGTGGGATGGAGCTGGGGCTGGGGCTGGGGCTGGGGCTGGCATGAGGACTTCCCAGTGAAAACCTATCAACTTCCTCCTGCCCCCAGAAGGAGATGGGAATGCCAGAGCCCCTGCAGAAGGTGCTAGCAGATCCCCGGCTGACGGCATTGCAGAGGGATGGGGGAGCTATTCTCATGAGGCTGCGCTCCACCCACAGCAGCAAGTACGAGGGTCGGGTGGAAATGGGAGGTGGAGACCCCACGGAGGGCTGCTGCTACGCTTTACTGAGCTGCCTGCCAAGGGGTTCTTACTGAGCATGTATCTGGACAAGCTATCACGCGTCTACCCTCATTCTCTCATTACTTCCACCACATTCCTGTCAGTTGGTTATGATCACACATGGACAATTGGAAGAGCAGAAATGTTAAAGGTCATGGCCACCATCATTCAGGGTCAGACTTAAAATCCAATCAGACTTGAAATCCATAGCATCCATAATGCTATGCCCCCTCCATGTGTGCACCCTTTTATGGAGGGGAAGCTAGGATGGTAGGTATCAGGCGCTCTCACCGAGGGAATAGCTTACTCTGCCCCTGGTCCTGTCCCCAGGCTGGAGGGCACTGGCCCAGCCACACTGTATCAGGAAGTGGACGAAGCCATTCACCAGCTCGTGCGCCTCTCCAACCTACATGTTCAGCAGCAGGAACACAGGCAGCGCCTCCAGCTGCTCCAGCAGGTGAGCGAGGACACCTCTCCTACTCAGCCTGGGCGCCTGGCCCCCAGGACAACTTTTCCCACCCCACCCCCACAGTAGCAGTTGAGGGGGCTCTAGCTGGGCTTGACTGAATGGCCCTGTCCTTTTTCCTCACCTGCCGTGGAGGTTGATCAAGGTCAATGTGAGATTCAACAAGAGGGTGAGAATATCTCAACACCCACAAAGAGGAGAAGACAGGTCTCCTCCTCCCCACTTCTTATGTGTAAGCAAGGTCCCTTAGAGATTATGGGAGATGTTTGGGTGTTCTGGGAGATTCTAGGAAGAAGGGATTAGCTTGGTGTTCCTATATGCCGAGCCTCGAAATAATTCATGTCAGCCCTTCAGCTGCACGGCTGTCCTTTCCCCTTCAACTCTGTACACAATGTCATCCTCCAAACCCGAGACTCGAAAGGTCCCATGTACCACTACTCCAGAAGGAGAGGGCATTGGAAGTCACTGGATAGCTTGGGAACCACAGACCTCTTAGGAAAATGCAGGGATAACAACTGACCCTTCTCTCCTAGGGTAAAGCCCCACAGAGAGGTGTTCTCCACCCCGCCATGTGGGATAGAGGGACTTTGAAATAGGCTAGTCCCAAGCATAAGGAGCCCTGGTGGCATTGTATGGAAAGTGTTGGGCTGCTAATCTCAAGGTCAGCGGTCCAAACCCACCAGCTGGTGCATGAGATAGAGATGAGGCCGTCATCTCCCACAAATATATACCATCTTGGAAAGCCTATTTGGGTCGCTATGAGTCGAAATCGACTCACTGGCAAGAGCAGTCCAAAGTATGGGGAGTGAGCTCTTCTTGGATCTTGACTGTGAGTAGTGAGAAAAGGCCAAAGGGGGTTCACTCTCTGTTTCCTGTGATTTGTGCACATCTGCTTCTCAGCTGCCAGTTTGTCACACTGATGCTTGAAGTTATGTCATTAGTATTTCAAGTACCAGAAGAGTCAACCAAAGTACACGGGTTTCAGCAGAACTTAAAGACTAAGAACGGGCAGCAGAGAAGGAACCGACTCCCCACTTCTGAGGAATCCGTCTCTGAAAACCTATGGATAGCCACCAGACATTATCAGATACTGAAAACTTCACGAAAAGAAGCAGACCTTTGTCAGCAGATGAGCCCCTCAGGTCAGAAGGCGCAGAAAGCAGGACTGAGGAGGAGCTGTCTTCTCAAAGTAGACTTGACCATAAGGACGTGAGTAAAGTAAAGCCTCGGGGTCTTCATTTACTGATAGGGTGCGACACAGAATGAGGAGAAACCGCTGTAAACATTTATCTGCAATTGGAACTTGGGATGTTCCAAGTATGACTATAGGAAAATTGGAAGTGGTCAAAAATGAAATGGAACCCATAAAGCCTGATATCCTAGGCATTCGTGAGCTGAAATGGACTGGTATTGGTCATTTTGAATCAGACCATCACGTGACTTACTATGCTGGGAAGGACAGATTCAAGAGGAATGGCGTTGCATCCATCATCAGAAAGGACATTTCAAGATCTGTCTTGAAGTACCATGCTGTCTGTGATAGAATTAGATCTATATGCATACAAAGAAATCCAGTCGGTACAACTATTAGCCAAATTTGTACGCCGACCACAAAAGCTCATGGTGAAAGTGCGGAATTTTACCATCTTCCGTCTGAAATTGATCAAACATGAAATCAAGCGATAAAGATAATTATTGGTAATTAGAATGCAAACGTTGAAAACAAAGAGGAAGGAATGGCGGTGGGAAAACATGGTGTTGGTGATGCAGACAAAGTTGAAGACGTCATGACAGAATTTGGCAAGGCCGATGACTTCACCATCACAATACCTTTTTTCAACAATACAAAGGCAGCTCTACACGTGGATTTCTCCAGATGGAATACACAAAAATGACAGTGACTACATCTGTGAGAAAAGACTATGGGGAAGCTCAATATCAGCAGCTAAAACCGCGCCCAGGCCATCAATTGCTCATATATTAGTTCAGATTGAAGCTACAGCACAATTAAGACAAGTCCTCACAAGCCAAAACATAACCTTGAGCATCTTTGACCTGCATTTTTAGACGATCTCAAGAACAGATCTGACACCTAGAGCATTAACGACAGGAGACCTGGTGAGCTGCGGGAGGACATCAAGAACATCATTCATGAAGAAAGCAAAGGTCATTAAAAAGACAGAAAAGGGAAAAGAAAAAGACCAAAATGAAAGTCGGAAAAGACTCTGAAATTTGCCCTTCATCATAGAGTAGCCAAGGCAAATAGAAGAAATGATGATTGAAGAGCCAAACAGACACGTTCCTAGGGTGGCTTAAGAAGACGAAGTAAAAAAGTATTACAACGGCATGTGCAAAGACCTAGTGCTACAAAACCAAAAGGGAAGAAGCGGCTCGGCATCTCTTGAACTGAGAGAAAGAAGAAGAAAATGCAAGACATGAGTTGCAATATTGAAAGATTCTATAGGCACACTACTGAATGATGCAGTGAGCATCCAAAGAAAGTGGAAAGAATACACTGTGCCAAACGCAGAATCCCTGTACCAAAAGGAACCATTTCAGGAGGTGGCATGTGATCAAGAACTGGTGGTGTTTGCTGAAGGAAGAAGTCCAAGGTGCACTGAAGGCATTAGTCCAAAACAAGGCTCCCAGAAATTGATGGAATATCCATACAAATAACTTGATGGCACCTAATAGCAACAATCACTTTCTCTATCCCAGCATCCCAGGGCCTGCATCTCCTACTCCTTGCTGGCTTGTGATCTGTTTTTAAACTCTGTTTGAAAAACAAAAGCACAGAGGATAGATTTGGAATCGGAAGTGCTCAGTTTGAGTTCCAAGTGTAAGATGTGGACAAGTTACCAAGCTTCTTTGCATGTCTGAGGCCTCTCCCACCCTCAGGAACAGTGATGGTTGAAACACTGACTCACAGGAGCGTTAGCTTAGGAGGAGTCAGTGGCTCCAGCAGCGCATTATAAGGTATGTGCTGCTGACATGGGTTATAACTGGGCATTCTCAGACTGCTCGTCCTCAGGCTACCCATCCCAGCTTCCAGCCTTTCTCCAAAGGAGCAAAATAACCATAGGTTTTCGGTCAAGTGTTCCAGTGCATCCAAGTGTCTATAGTTCCAAAAGTAGGCAACAAGAGCTCAGCAGGTGCTTAGCTCAGAGAGAGAGAGAGAGAGGGCTGCCTTCTGACATCTCTCCAAGGATGATCCTGGTACCATTTGCTGCAGGTTCATGGCACCGGATTTTCTCTGGGCCATGGTTAGCCAGACCTCATCCTGTCTCTTGTCACACCACTTTCTCGAGAACACTCTTCCAGTGTAGCCTGGGAACACTAACCCACCTTCTCAGTGCTTAGGGCCAGCCCAGCTTGCCCCTTATGTGGTGCTACCACAAGGAAGGTTGACTGCCCATTTTTTATCACACTCGACTCCTGCGGAAACTACTGCCATGCCCGCTTTCCTGATGAGACTGAATGGGCCCCCCAGGGTTCTATGGATTGGGGTGGGCCGGCGTGGGAGCTAGATCTCCACCCACCCTCTCCTCTCTGCTGCAAGCTCTCCTTCGCCCTCATGCCTCTGCTCTCCCACCCAACCACCTCAGGTGCGACAGTGGCTGTCGGGCCCAGGAGAGGAGCAGCTGGCCAGCTTTGCCGTGCCCGGGGACTCCCTGTCTGCACTGCAGGACACAGAGCTTCGATTCCGGGCTTTCAGTGCTGAGGCTCAGGTGAGGAGGGGCCAAGGACCCAGTGAAAAAAGACAGGCAGAGAGGGAGAGACGGACTTGACTGCAAGGAAGGACCAGATCCGAGTATCGCCTCCCTTCTCCAGGAGCGCCTGACCCAGGCACGCGAGGCCCTGGCCCTGGAGGAAGATGCAGCCTCCCAAAAGGGCCTGGATCTCTTTGAAGAGCGGCTGGAGCAGGTTGAGAGCAGCCTCCATCGGGCCCTGCGGCTTCAGCGCTTCTTCCAGCAGGTGCGTGCCGGGTGTTCTTCCTCTGTGTCCGCCATTGCCCTTGCTTGGCCTGGAGAGGCAGGTCAGATAGCGTAGACTCAGCCACCCATCTCCCGGGCTCTGCCTCCTACCTGGTGAAAGACCGGGAACAAGGCCCTCAGGCTGAAGGTGCCTCCGGAGGCCTCTTCCTGACGAGGCTATGGCGAGGAGCACGTGAGGAGCTACAAAGCCCTGCAGCTCCATAGAAGCATTAGTTCTTTTATCTCGGTCCTCTGTCTCCATTTCCAGCCAAGCCAGCTGCCACTGCGTTGGCTCAGTCATGCCGACCCCGGGCATGTCCCAGTAGAGCCACGCTCCATAGGGTTACCGGTGGCTGTGTGCATTCAGAAGGATCCCTGGTTTGGGGGTGGGTGGGGGGTGATTGGGTGGAGGGGTTGGGCTGCTAACTCAAGGTCAGTGGTTCACCAGCTGCTCCGCAGGGGAAAGACGAGGCTTTCTACTCCAGTAAAGATTTTCAGTGTGGGAAAGCCACTGGGGCAGTTCTGCCCTGTCCTGTAGATTCGCTGGGAGTCAGAGTGGACTCAGTGTCAGTGAGCGTGTGCTTTCAGAAGTGGGTCACCAGGCCTTTCTTCCGAGGCACCTCCAGATGGATGAAGCCCTTGGGTGGTTCCCCGGTACTCAATGCGCTGGCTTGGCCACTAGCCAAAAGGTTGAAGGTCCAAGGTCCCCAAGAGGCAGCTCAGAAGGAAGGCCTGGTGAGCTATCTCAGAAAACTCAAACCTCGCCAACGGGCAGGCGCACAGCTCCACTGGGATACACAGGGTCTCCGTGCATCAGAACCAACCCAACTTCAGCTTCAGCCCCCTTGTGACGCTGCCAACTCAAGTAGACAGGGATGCGGGGATAGTGAGAAGTGGTGTTCTGAGATGAGGGAAGGGGAGGGGCGTTAGGGAGCCACCTGCAAAGGAGGGAAGAGCTATTCTATGGTGCGCGGGAACAACACAGTGCCTACACGCTTTGTTTCTCTCCCTAATCCTTTTGGCTTTACAGGCCCACGAGTGGGTGGACGAGGGGTCGGCCCGGCTGGCTGGAGCCGGGCCCGGGCGGGAGGCTGTGCTGGCAGCCCTGGCCCTGCGGCGAGCCCCAGAGCCCAGCGCTGGCACCTTCCAAGAGATGCGGGCCCTGGCCCTGGACCTGGGCAGCCCAGCCGCGCTACGAGAGTGGGGGCGATGCCGGGCCCGCTGCCAAGAGCTGGAGAGGAAGATTCAGCAGCAACTGGGAGAGGAGGCGAGTCCCAGGGGCCACCGCCGAAGACGGGCAGACAGTGCCAGCAGTAGAGGAGCCTCCCGGGGCCCCCACAGCCCCTCACCCAGCCTTAGCTCCCTGCTGCTCCCTGGCAGCCCAGGGCCACGGGCAGCCCAGTCTCACTGCTCACTGTCCCCCTGTGGAGAAGACTACTACGAGGAGGAGGGCCTGGAACTGGCGCCAGAAGCAGAGGGCAGGCCTCCGCGGGCTGTGCTAATCCGAGGCTTGGAGGTCACCAGTACGGAAGTGGTCGATCGGACATGCTCCCCACGGGAACATGTGCTGCTGGGCCGAGCTGGGGGGCCGGATGGGCCCTGGGGCGTAGGTACCCCTCTGATGGAGCGCAAGCGGAGCGTCAGGTGAGTTCCCATCCCCATTGATGGCCAAGAGGTCTAACTGCCAATTAGGAAAATAATATGGCACTGCCGGTGGGGGCCGGTGGGGGGAGTGACTTTCTGCCACGCTCCAGGTGACACCTCCACTGCCATTCCCTGTTGCTCCTACAGTACCCAGCAGCGCCTGGTGTCTGAGCTGATTGCCTGTGAGCAGGACTATGTGGCCATCTTGGGTGAGCCAGTGCCACCCCCCGGGCCTGAGCTGAACCCCGAACTTCAGGGCACCTGGGCCGCTGCCCTGAGCACTCGGGAGAAGCTGCGGAGCTTCCATCGGACGCACTTCCTGCGGGAGCTTCAGGGCTGTGCCGCCCACCCCCTGCGCATAGGGGCCTGCTTCCTGCGGCACGTGAGTGATCCAGCCCACCTCCACCCTCCTTCCCAGGACCCACCCCCTCCACGTGCGGGCCCCATCACTTTCTGGGCAGACCCAGAGCTTCCTGAGGACCCAACTCTTCCTTGGGTGGCAGTGAGGGATGGAACAGAGGAAGGGGAGGAGGCCTCACGGGTCGGTTTCCTTCTTCCGTGGGTCTAGGGGGACCAGTTCAGCCTCTACGCCCAGTATGTGAAACACCGACACAAACTAGAGAACCGTCTGGCTGCGCTCAGCCCCCCGACCAAGGTAACCTTTTCTCCAGTGCTCATGGGCAGGGCGGAGGAGCTGGGAAGACCCCCAAACCTTTGTTGTGATTGTGCGGTGCCATCGAGTTGGTGCCGACCCATAGCGATACCATGCACAACAGAACAAAACACTGTCTGGTCCCAGGCCATCCTCACACTGTTCCCACGCCGGTGCCCATTGTGGCAGCCCCAGGGTCCATCCATCTTGTTCGCTGCCCCTCTACTCTACCAAGCATGGAGCCCCTGTCCAGGGACTGGTCCTCCCCAACAACTCAAACCCTTACTGACCTCAAAATCCCTCTGGAAAAAAAAATTTAAAAAACCTTTCCTGGGTATGCTCAGGCGCATCCCAGAATTGCGTTAGGAGCCAGGTGAGTCAGGGTTCTTACGTAGAGCACCTAAGAGATCTTGATTCCCCCAGGCCTCTGTGTTTCACCTGGTAAATGGGGCAGCAGTCACTTTCCCCAACTCTCCAGGAGCCCTGAGTATCAAGCGGCCTCACATCAGAAGAAGTGAAAGAGATTAAAAAAGGGGAAAGCCAGAGAAGAGACCACAAAGAATTATCATTCTCTTTCTGCTTCTATTTCCCCTCAAGACACAGCAACTGGCTGAACTCCTGCAGGCTCCCCACCTGCCTTCTTTCCCAGGGGCAGGTTTGGGACTTACTACCTGGAGTATCTAGGGATTGCCATAAGTCAGCTTCTACCTGAAGACAACTGACAGCCATCCTCTACACCAGCGGTTCTCAACCTGTGGGTCGCACCCCCTTGGGGGGGGTCAAACGACCCTTTCACAGGGTCACCTGAGACCATATTTCTGACGCTCTCAGAAACTAAGACACTGCGCCTCTATCCGTCTCCAGGCGGTCTGCCCACATGCAGACATGCCCACATACAGGGTCATCACAACATGAGGAACTATATGAAAGGATCATGGCATTAGGAAGGTTGAGAACCACAGCTCTAAAAGGATCTGAGTGGCGCAAGGGATCTGTGGTTGGCTCGTGGCTTAGTGGCTATGCGTGGGGCTGCTCATCACAGGGTCAGTAGTTCAAATCCACCAGCCCCTCTGACACAGAAAGTGGGGCTTTCTACTCTGTGAAGAGTTGCAGACCTGGAATCTCACAGGGGCAGGTCTACCCTGTTCGATAGGGCCACTGTGAATGGGCATCGACAGTGAGTCGAATGGCTGATTTGCACTAACCTGCAGGTTGGCCGATGGAGCCCACTCAGTGGCTTTGAGGGCTGGCAAATGGCTTCCGTAACAAAGCAGTTCTACCCTGGAACCCATGGGGCCCGCCCTGAGTGGCCTGCCAACTCAATAAATGGCAGCCGACAGCAAACCGGCTTCATCTACAACCAGAAGCCTGGAGTGTCACTTCCTCACCCACCCGCTTGGCTCTGAGAAACACCGCCCTCCTGTCTCCTCCCTGACCCAGGGCTCCGTGGAGATTGGCCCTCACCTGCCCCGGGCCCTGCAGCAGCCGCAGGAGCAGCTGGCCCGCTACGTGCGGCTCCTGGAAGAGCTCCTGAGGGAAGCTGGGTCAGAACTGAGTTCTGAGCGCCAGGCGCTTGGGGCTGCAGTGCAGCTGCTCCGGGAACAAGAGGCCCGAGGCAGAGACCTGCTCGCCGTGGAAGCGGTGCGTGGCTGCGAGGTGAGGCCGTAGCTCCAGCCTCTCCTACTGACAGGGCCTCGTCCTGTGACCCCCGCAAGCCTGTGCCGGTGAGGTCAGGAAGCCCCCAGGTCTAATTTCGCACGGGCTGGGTGATCTTGGCTGAGTCACGGAATTTCCCTGGGCCTCAGTTTCCTCATCTTTACATTAGGAAGTGACGTTCTGCCTGACTGGAAAGTCCCTGGTCCTACATCTGCTCTGAGCCCTCCTGTTCCTCTTCTGGTTCTCCTATTGCCCCCACCTACCCAAACCGCCTCCTGCATCCCCACAGCCCGTACACACCTCATTCTCCTCTACCTAGGGAGAGCCTTTTCCAGCCAGACGGTTCCAGAGTCAGTTTAACCCCATCTAGTGGGTTAAATAAATAAATAATAAGTCCCAGTCATAGTTCCCTCAGTGTTAGTTTCCCACAATCTAGAATCCTCCCCTCCCCTAGCATAGACTTATTTTCTGTTCAATTATTGCTAGGGCAAAATGGGGCTTCAGTTCCCAGCCTCCCTGGGGTGGGGGTGATCTGTAAACCTCAACTGCGCATGTACCTCCCCCTCTTCAGGAGCAGGGCCATGCTGCCGGGCCATGGTGACCAGTAGGTGTGGGTGCTAGCCTAGCGGTCTGTCTGACTCTTTGACTTTGCCTGAGAACCACAACAGTAGAGCCCTCACCTCCTGGACTCCACTGTTCACTTGATACAAAGGGCTCCTGGGCCAGCCACCTGTCCTCCTTCCTCCCCCAGATAGATCTGAAGGAGCAGGGACAGCTTCTACACCGGGATCCCTTCACGGTTGTCTGCGGCAGAAAGAAGTGCCTTCGCCACGTCTTCCTCTTCGAGCATCTCCTTCTCTTCAGCAAGCTCAAGGGCACTGAAGGGGCCGCAGAGAACTTTGTGTTCAAGCAGGCCTTTAAGGTACAAATGCCCAGAATGAAGCGTGGGCAGGCAAGTGGTGTTCTTGAGAACTTTGGGTGCTCGGGAAACTCAAGCCCAAGTGAGGTGCAGAGTCTACATCAGCTGGCTTATAATTAATCACTGAGCCAGGGTGTCAGGGACAAATAGGTGTCCCTGTCTCTGGTCTACCCTAAGGGCTTTTCCTTATAGTGGTACAGGAAACTCATTGGGTGTCCCTTGAGTGTGGAATGGAGAAAGCCTCGTCCCATTAAGAACATATGTGTCTTTTGAGTTAGAGGCCGTCCCTGGGGGAAATAAAGCAAACTTAAAACTTACTGACTCATAGGGACCCTATAGGGATGGGGTAGAACTGGCCCTGTGGGTTTCTGACACTGTAAGCCTTTATGGGAATAGAAAGCCCCATCTTTCTCCTGAGGAGTGGCTGGTGGTCTCGAACTGTGGTAGTCCTGCCCCATGTGCCACCACCTCAGCGAGATTCACTCCGGCTTCATCCCCTCCCTCTGCTCTTCCTCAGACCGCTGACATGGGGCTGACAGAGAACATTGGGGACAGTGGGCTCTGCTTTGAGCTGTGGTTTCGGCGGCGCCGGGCACGAGAGGCGTACACTCTGCAGGCAGCCTCTCCAGAGATCAAACTCAAGTGGACAAGTTCGGTTGCCCAGCTGCTATGGAGACAGGCAGCCCACAACAAGGGTACTGGGCAGAGCCCAGGGAGGGCATGCTCTGAGTCAGGGTGAGGGCAGAAGGTTATCTGGAGAGTGTGGAGGCAGCGAGGCTGTTGAGTTCAAACTGCCAGTGTTTTGGTTAGCTGCCAAGTGCTTTAACGGCTGCAAGAAGACAGATGGGAGACAGGTGGAAGACAGATGGGAGCGTTTAACAGACTAACCAAAGCAAACTCACTTTCATTGATAGTGACCCTAGAGGGCAGACTAGAACTGCCCCTATGGGTTTCTGAGACTGAACCATCAGTTATGGGAGCAGAAGGCCTCATCGTTCACCTACGGAGTGGCTGGGAGCTTTGAACCGCCAACTCTATGGTTAGCAGGCCAATGCACAACCCACTGTGCCACCAGGGCTCCGCTGCAAACTGAAAGTATAAAGAAATGTGATTTTGCTCGTGATGCTCAAGATAAGGGGAGCAAACCAAACTCACTACCAAGTCCACTCGGACTCATAGAGACACTATCAAATAGGAATAGAATGCTGGTTTCAAGCTGCCGACCTTTTGGTTAGCAGCCCAAATCATAACCACTGTCCCACCAGGGTTCCTAGTAGATAAGGGGTGAGTGGAGTGGGGAGGTGGGCATAGTAGGAGAAGTTGGGTGGTGCCAATGCCACAAGGGCAGTATATTAAGAGAGGCAGATACCCGGGGAGGAATTCAAAAGACCATCAGACGCAAGTCATCATAGTCAGTGGCAGGTGTACCCAGAGACTCCAGGGTACTGATGCTGCAGAACGGGAGCTGGAGCAGAGCCAACGGAAGAGTCAACTGAGGCAGCGCTGGGGCCGCAGCAGGAGGGGTGGAAGGTTGGTAACAGCGCATCTGTTCCTCAGAGCTCCGAGTACAGCAGATGGTCTCCATGGGGATTGGGAATAAACCTTTCCTGGACATCAAAGCCCTTGGGGAGCGGACATTGAGTGCCCTGCTCACTGGAAGAGGTGAGAGCCAGAGTGCTGGGGGGTAGCCCCCCAAGTCAAAACTTTGTGAATGGGTGCAACTGTAGGGAGGCACAGTGGAGGGAGGCAGGGTGATGAGTGCAGCATCTCTTCCACGAAACTGTGGGACTGCCTGAGAGGGCCTCTGTGAGACGGAGGGCCTAGGGAGGGCTTTCCCACACCAGCACCCCACCCTCCCCCATCCTCCCCACTCTCTGCAGCCGCCCGTACCCGGGCCTCCGTGGCCGTGTCATCTTTTGAGCATTCCGGCCCCTCCCTTCCCGGCCTCTCACCGGGAGCCTGCTCCCTGCCTGCCCGCGTCGAGGAGGAGGCCTGGGATCTGGACGTCAAGCACATTTCCCTGGGTGAGGCACCTCTCCAGGGGTGGCTCCCATCAGCTGGGTCATCCTGGCGATGCTCAAGCTGCTTGCTGCTGAACAAGTCTTCTTTCTAGCCCAGTTGCCATGGCAACCGTGGGACAGCTTCCCATTGCTAAAAAGGCCCTTCCTTCTGGTTGCTCGGGTGATGCTTACAGCAGCCTGTTGCTAAGAAGCACTTCCTCTGTACTTTTCTCTCCAGCTCGCCCAGTTTCTATGGAAACTGCTTCAGCTTCCTGTTGTACCCTCCTGGTTCTCCACGGCCATCCTTTTGGTTTCCTGTTGCTTCTTCCCTGGTTGCTCTAATGATGCTGCTGACAATTTCCTGCCTCTTGGTAGGGGGGGGGGGGGGTTTCTCTTGCAACTGGATTGCTATGGTGACTCAGTTTCATGTTGCTGTGGATCTTTTTCTTCCCTGATGGAGCAGTTTGGTTTCTGAAGGTAATCTGCAAGGCTTCCTCTATCTGCTGCTCTTCCCCTCCAGCCCCAGACACACTCGACTCTTCTGGCGATGTGTCCCCAGGACCGAGAAGCAGCCCCAGCCAGCAGGCCCCCCACCCCGGAAGCAGCACTCCCACCTTGGCCAGTGGAGGGATCTTAGGGCTGTCCCCGCAGGTAAGTCCCTACCACTGGCTAGGGATTGGGCTCATCTCTTTGACCGCTTTCTGGATGGGCTCTTCTGATGATTGGGGGCAGGGGGCGGCAGGCAGTGATTCTGTGCTGCCAGCTGAGGCTACCACTTGGCCATATGACCTAGTGTGCCTGTCACCAATTGCCCAGACCCCGCTGGGAGGCCTCAAGTGGGAGCTGCGCAGGACTTGTTAATAAGGCGCATTCTGGGTAGAAAGGGGAGAATCCCAAGGGCCTGGATTAGGCTTCAGTTAAATCAGCAAGATTCAGGATACTGGTGAGAAGTGAGGTGGATTGACACAATTGGGAGAGGAAGAAAAGAGAGGCCTATTGGGGGTGGGGGTGGGGGGGTGTGTCACTTTCCTCCCCCTGTGAACTCACTGCAGCTGCTCTCTCCTCAGAGTCATGCTCGGACCCCCAGTGACCCCACCACCCCTCTGTGATCTGGGTGAGTTAGTATCTGCTTTCTTGCTCGCCTTTCCTTCTGCCTTCCTCCCTAGGCTCGCTCCCAACCCACCTTCCCCTTCTCCCCCGACGTCTGTCTTGCAGAAAAGGCCCAGAGGGTTGCCACAGCCCCTCCTCAGCACATCTGGGGCTGGGATGATGGTGGGACATGGCGGAGACGGAAGAGTACTGGACTCCTTCCTCTGCTCCTCAGGCCCGGGCTGAACTGCACCACTGCTAGCCCGGGCTCTCCCAGCCTCGGGCCTTCTCCCGGCTCGACCAAACCACAGTGGTCCTCGGCCTGGCTTGACTACATATCCCGGAGGCCAGGAAATGACCCTCCTTTTAGGACTTTATCTTGGGGGCTCCTGTAGGGCCCCCGGGGCACAGCTCCATTATCACCTGGTCTTCTGCCAGTCAGTGTTCTCCCCTTCTTCCCCCCCCGAGAAAACGCCCTTCAGCCCTGCCAGTGTGAGTTCCTCGCTGGGTTCCAGGATGGAGGTGTGGGAGGAAAAGGAGCTATGAGAACTGTTATAGGGGGGCAGGGGGGAGCTGCAGCTTTATATTTGTAATTACTGTTATTATAGTGTTATTGTTATATTAAACGTGTTTACCCACGCTTTGCCACCCAGGAGCTGGAGCAGGCTTCTCTCTGGGTTACAGTGACACTGCTCGTCTGAGCACATTCCCTCACCCAACCGTTAACGCCTCGTTAGTTGCAATCAAGTCATTTTGGACTCCCGGTGACCCTGTGTGCAGCACAGAACTGCTCTGTCAGGCTTTCGGAGCTGTGTCATTTTAGAAGCAGAGAGCCACTAAACCTGCCTTCCAAAGCACCCCTGGGTGGATTTGAAGTCTACTGCTTCCCCATCTAAGCCCCCTGGGGCCTACGACACAGAGAATGAAGCCAGGGCTGCGGGGCACCGGCTCCCCTTCATGGCCCAAAGGCGACAGTGTGTGCATGGGCTCCGGAGGATGTGCCTCCTCTCTGACTCCCAGAGGCTCAAAGCAGTCTTTGAAGCACCTCCTCCTGCACTGCCACCCACTTCTGGAAGCTGAGCTGGTCACAGACGAGCTGGGAGTCCACACCACCTAACACAGCGGTTCTCAACCTTCCGAACGAACGCAGCGACCCTTAATACAGTTCCTCATGTGGTGGTGGTGACCGCCCCCCACCCCACCAAGCATAAAATTATCTTCGTTGCTACTTCATCACTGTAATTTTGCTACACAACTCTGCCAACCCTGGGACCCCAATCCGGCAACCCCTGTGAAAGGGTCGTTCGATCCCCAAAGAGGTCGCAACCCACAGGTTAGTCTAAGGGTTCTAAAAAAAACGAGGGTCTCGGGAGAAAGCGCCCCCCCTCCCCAGGCTATTGGTTAGATGCTAATTTATGGGCACCACTTCGGAGCTACTGAATCCCAGGCTCAGCTGCGATGCCCCAACTCCTCCATTCTTCCCTTCTCTGAGTGAAAACGAAGTGCCTGAGAAGGTGGCTGCTTCCCAAGGCAGAAGAGCCCCGGGGCAGAGACAGGACATAGGCAGACAGACACAGAGCCCTGTGCCTCAAGACACCTGTTTATTGGGGACACGACTCTGCGACAGGAATGACAGGGATCGTACCAAAAATAGCGACGTCTACAGGGCCCCTTACAGGGCTAGAAGGGTACAGGGCCCCCCTCCCCCACCCCTGGTACAAAAATAAACTCTCACGCCATTGGACCAGCAAAGACTGGCAGAGCGCTCCTCCACGGGGACACAACTCTGCCAACCCTAGGACCCCAATCTTTGACCCTCACCCCTGCCACTTCTAAGGCACTGTGACTCTCCCCTGGGCTGGGTGGGTACCTCCCGCCCACCCTCCTACACCCGCTGCCCCTCCACCACTAGTCCGCCTGGGGCTAGGATATGGGTCCCACGCCACCCCCTGCTGGCTGCTCTATCAACTACCTCTAGTGCTCCCCCGCTCCGGCGGGTAAGCTCACTACGCTACCGGCCCCCCTAAGAGGGCTCCCTACCGTTCTTGACTCCCCAGGTTCGCCTCTCCTGATCTCGACAGCCCTGGGCTCTCCTCGCCTTCCTCAGGAGGGCTGGGAGGGGTCTCCCCTGAGGGTGCTCGGGTGTAGGGCGGGGAGGCTTCAGCCTGGGGCAGCCTGCGGCCCCGCGCACGCCGGCTGTGATGCACTTGCAGGTGCAAGGCCATGAGCTCGGGGGCTCCAGTGGCAAAGGGGCAGAAGAGGCAGCGATGCAGGGCGCCCCCGGGCCCGGCTTCGCCCCCCGGGCCCGCCCGCAGGGACAGGTCCAGGGGCTCGGCCTCACCGCCTCGCCCATTGCGAAGGGTCCTCCCCGGGCTAGCCGGCTTCCGACGAGACCCCGGCCCGCTGGTCAGAGGCCGCGGGCTGGCAGCACCCTCCGCCCAGGCCGCAGGCTGGGGCGCCACTTTGGCTCCTGAAGGCAGGGCTGAACTGCGCTGGGCAGAGGGTGGCGGCTCAGGGGGTGGCCCGGGCCCGGCGCCGCTCCTCTGTTCGCGGTGGTGGCGTTGCAGGTGATACTTGAGCGAGCCGGATTGGGTGCCCGCGTAGTCGCAGTGTGGACACTTGTAGGGTCGCTCGCCTAGGGAGAAAGGTGAGACAGAGTCACAGGGTCAGGCTCTTCTGCTCAGCAGCATTTCACCGGGCCCGTCTGATCCAGCAGCCCCACGCCCCCCCCCACCCGTGCTCTCCCCGCCCCCTCTCGCCCCGCAGCTGCCCCTCACCTGTGTGCACTCGCAGATGCACTTTGAGGTGGTGCGCTGAGCGGAAGGATTTTCCGCAGAAAGGACAATCCTTGCCGGTGGCGCCCCGGCCCCCTTCCGGCCGCGTCCCTCCAGCCAAGAGCCCGTTCTCTTCTGCAATCACACACAGCACGTGGAAGTCAGCCAGGGCCCGGGGCCCCGTCTCCGGTCAGGAGGGTGTGCACCCCGACTCCCCCCACCCTCAGAACTGCTTCTCTTGGGGAGGGGGGGGGACTTCTGTTGGGAAAGCTCAGAGTTGGTGTTCCCCAAATGTGGCAGATGCTTCAGGAAGGAAAAAGGAGGCCGGAAAAACGTTTTAAGATGCACAAAACCGGGTCCTTTGTGAGGAGACGGGAGGGAGATAAGTGGCAGCATCCGAGGCGGCCGAGGGCGCGGGTACGTACCCTGGGTGGCCGTCGATCTGGCCTGCGCCCCTGCTGCAGATGCAGACTGTCCCGGCCCCTCGCCAGGGCGCGGGTGCAGGGAAGCCAGGGGGCCCAGCGCCCTGCTCCGGGCCCAGGGCTCCTCCTCCGCCTCCACCACCTCCTCCTCGTCGTCCTGCTCCTCCGCGCGGTGCCGGCGAGCCCGGCTGGGGAGGGCGGAAGGCAGAGGGCGGAAGCCTCCGAAACTGCGGCCAGGCCCAGACTCGGCGCCCTCTCCGTTGGGCCGGGCCTCGCCAGCTCGAAGGCTCAGATAGCCCAGGAGGCTGGGGGGCTCCCGGCGCTCAGCCGGGGTGGGCGCCGGGGCCAGCAGGAGTGCCGGGCCCAGGGACTCATAGGTCAGCAGACCCAGGTCTGGAGGCTGGGGGGCCCGGGCAGGGGCGGCGCCAGGCCCCGGGGCCCGCACTGGACCCAACTTGCTGGCATGCACCTTCATGTGGTTCTTGAGGAACCAGGGCTCCTTGAAGCAGCGGCCACACACGGGACACGCGTGGTCGAAGGAAGCCTTGTGCTTGCGCATGTGGCCCTTGAGAAACCAGGACTGGGTAAAGCTCTGGCCGCACACTTGGCAGCGGAACTCCGGAGGCGCTGGGGGCTCCTCGGGGGCGGGGGCCGGGGTGGGCTCTGGCTCCGGCTCCGGCTCCGGCTCAGGCTCAGGGACCGACTTGGGTTCTGGCTCAGGCGGCGGCGGCTGGGGCTGGGGCTGGGGCGCAGCGGGGGCGGTCGCCAGAGGGCGCGCGGCAGCCCCATGGGCGGTCAGGCTGTGGTGCAGTAGCTCCTCCTCCTGGCTGGAGCCAAAACTGCACAGGCTGCACTTCCAGGGTCTGTGCAGGATGTGCAGGTGGCGTTCGCGCTCTGCCGCGGTGCGAAACTTGCCTTTGCAGAAGGGACAACGGAAGGCAGAGGAAGCAGTAGACTGGGGCCGCGCCAGGCCCTCAGAGGCGGCGGTGGCCTGCAAACCCCCGGATCCCCTGGCTCTCCCCAGCCGGGCCTCGCGCAGCAGCGCGCGCTCCTCCAATTCTAGCAACAGGCGTGCGGCGGGGCTCCGTGGGCGCTCCGGCTGGTGCGTGCGGAGATGGGAGCGCATCAGAGCCCGCTGCGTGGCGCGATGGCCGCAGTGCGGGCACTGGAAGGCCTGGGCGCCAGGGTGAGCTCTCAGGTGCAACGCCAGGATGGAGTTAAAGCGGAAGCGCTTTCCGCACACAGGGCAAGGGAAACGCCTTTCTCCTGCACGACTCTCAGACCAGGCCACCGCGCCCATCCCTGGCGACGCCACGCTCACACCAGGCCCGTTGGAATAGCGCTGCAGATCCAGTTCGCCATCGAAAGCCGGAGGCGACGATGGCGCTAAGTGGCCGCCAGGGACACGGGGATGTGAGCCCTGTGGAGAAAGGTGCAAGAAAAGCCGAGGGTGAAAAAGGGCTGGCTGTGGGCAAATGAAGGGCATCGGGGGCCTGAAACAGAAATGCCCTTCCCACTCATCTCAGGGAAATTAGGGGTGGGGTGAGAATTGAGGTGAGGTATCGGGGCCTACGAGTTAAACTCCAAGACTAGGAGGTGCAAGAGGTAGAGGCCTGGTGAGTACCGTTGTCAGGACTGCAGGTGGGGGCCGGAGCTTCACTCACCTCCATGGACCCCCTTCACATTCTTTGGTTCTCGGGAGTGCAGGGAGGAGGAGGTGGAGAAGCAGCTAGTGAAGGCAACAGGTGCTGAGGAACTAAAGCAAGAGACATTGGGGTGGGGTGGGGGGGTGAAGCCTGGTTTCCAGAAGCCGAGTCACCTCAAACCCCAGACTTCCATCCTCTATTCCTGCAGCCTTGTCCCTTCCCTCTCCTTGCATCCTGAGGCACCCAAGGGGACTGAGGTTCTCACACCATCCCCCTTGATTTGACAAGTCCACAAGGCTCCTGATAAACACGATTTCTTCCCCAAATGATACTTTCAATGGGGTGTTCCTGAGCCCCCACTACTATCCCATGCCCAGGCAGTGTGGAAACCATCACAGGATCCCCGTATCCCATGTCCACTGGCATGTGCAGTTTGATGAGCAGGTGGAGTGGGTTTGCCATGCTTCCCAATTATCCAAGTGGGACCAGTTGCTTTCAGACTCTTAGCAGACCCAGTCCAGCCCTTCCAGGCTCCACAGTCCTGCCTCCTGCCCTCACCCTGTCTTTCAATCTTCTCCCCTCATCCTCCCACCCTCCCTCCGCCTGGATTCCTGATCCATTCATTTCCATTCATTACAGAGACTCATTCATGCATGGGAGAGAAACACCTCCCAGCAGCACAGTCTGGAGACAGACAGAGGGGGAGGGGCATGAAGGGGGAGAGAGCCAGAGGGAGAGGGGAAGGAGAGAGAGTTAGGGGAGGAATGGAAGTTAAGGGGGCGCTGCTGGCCTGGACAAGGGGTTAAAAACTGCAAATACCAGATATGATTCAGCCCCGTTTCAAACCTGGGAGCCTGCCGTGTGATGGGGCATCTCAGCCCCTTTGTCCAGGGCTGTTCCGAAGCAGGCTTTCCTCCTCTCTGCAGGGGAGAGGCTCCCTCACACAAGAGGAGGATTACACAGGCTCCGAGCTCAAGAGGCTGGAGTGAGGGATGGGGGGCGGGGCTGGGCCATCTGCACAGATAGGAGCTCAGCACAGCTCTGGGCAGGAAGGGGTTAAAATTCTCCAGGCTAAAATTCCCTAGGCCAGGGATGTGCAAAGCTCCAGTGCTGGGGAAGAAGAGCAAGGGGTGGAGGGGGGGGTGGGGGGGTAGGGCGGGGAGGCTCTGATTATAGGCTGCAGAGGTCAGCATTAGGACTTAAAAGCAACATGAGAGTTCTGATTTATAGAAAGAGGGGCCTGGGAGGAAAACCAGAAGGCTTCCAGTCTACCTTCCTGCTTACATATAGAATTAGTCAAGGCCAGACAGACAACAGCCTAACCTGCTTGGGCTTGTTGTTGTTGGTTTTCCCTGAAATACAAAGAATATTTGAGATATAAAGAACTTCCTTACAATAGGTATTAAGAGACAAAAATGGGTTGCTGAGAATGAAGAGGGCTCAAGCATTATTTTACTTAAAGATCTTTAATAGAAGATAACTGAGCTAAGAATCAGCCCTCCTTATCAGCACAGAGAAGACTGGAAGTCCAAGGCTTGACTTGATTCTCTGTAGTGGATACCGTAAGACTCCATGACGGAGCATGTACCTGTTACATGTGGAACCTGGGCTACAGGAGCTTTATGGCCCCTGGGCTATAGTTTCATTAGCAAGAGATGAACAGAGTGTCCTTGTCCCAGGGTCACTAAATGACCTCTGCAACCATGAAGTATGCATATTTTTGTGACTCCACATTATAACACCCACCTTCACTCTGCATCCTCCTAACACACTCCTTTCCGGAAACCAAAATCCCCTGATGGGCTGGCTTACTGAGTGGTAAGATAAAAAGTATACCAGAATAGGGCATTGGGGTACAAGACTATTGTGGCCTCAGCCTGACCATCAGTAGCCCTACATCATTACATAAACCCCTTAAATTTCCAGTTTCACACATCTGTAAGTTAAGGGAATAGCCGAGTTAATAGTGATGTTCGCTTTCAGCTCAACAGTTTTGTGACTCCAAGTCAGGACTCTTAGACCCCAAAGATCCTAGAGCAAATGGCCACCTATTCAGTACCATGGAGAGAGCAGTGGGCCACCACGGGAACCACTTTGGCCACCTCAGCACTACAGGCAGAGCTATGCAGTGTTCAACTCTCAATTGAACTCCCTGCCACTGAGCTAATTCTGACTCCAGAGCCCAACCCATCTCAGTCCTGTAAGGCCAAGTAGAACTGCCCCTGTGGGTTTGTCAGATTGTAAATCTTTACAGGAGTGGAAAATTTCATCTTTCTCCCATGAAGCGGCTGGTAGTTTTGAACTACTGACCTTGTAGTTACCAGTCCAACACATAACCACTATGCCACCAGGTAGAGGGGCCATGTTTGTTATTTTGGCACCAGATAAGGCCCTGAAAAATGCTAGTGTTGTGTTGTGTTGTGTTGTTTGTTTGTTTGTTTGTTTTGAGGGGTTGTTGTTGTTATTGCCAGAGTGTTTTGTTTCTTGGATTTTTTTTTTGTTCCTATTTTATCACCAAAGAAAAAAACAGTGATACCAAAGGGATTATTTTGGCCTTTTGAATGTCACCGAAAATAGACAGATGTAATAGAAAATAGATGTAACTAGAAGAATTTTAATTAGCTATTAGGAGTACCCTAACAGTTACAGTTTGTACATCCTGGAATGAGTTACTGAGGAATCGTATTTGGGTCCATCACATTCTGTTGCTCTCCTGGGGATTCCCGGAACATCCTGGTGTACAGCCAATCTGGTATATTCAGAAGCAGATGGCAGTTGGGGAGGGGGGCGGGGGAAAGGAAGTGAGGCCAGGAATACTGCATGGTCATAGCTGACTAACCTATGGGCACATACTCTGATTCTGAGAAGATTCTAGGTCCCCAAAACTGCCTAGAGGATAACAAGGGCAATATCTATCACATGGGAGGCTGGTCTCACATTATTAAAAAAACAAAACAGAAGAGCAAGAATGGGACCAGGCGTCTTTCCTCCCCTATCAAAAACAAAACAAAAAGCTGGCGATGAACAGTTTCCAGGATGGAAATACAGTGATACACAGAAGGCCCAAAAGGAAGATGAATTCTTCAGCAGGGAAAGTTTTCCCAGAGGATGCACTCAAACCAAGAAAGCCCACACAGAGACCACCGTGGGCCAGTCAAGATCTCCTGACTCCTTCCCACACCTGTGCCCAGGCGCCAGGATCCAGGGGCTTTTCTCAATAGGAGCAAACGGTGACAGGGCCCCGAGATCCTGTGAAATGGCACAGAACCTAGGTCAAACATGTGTTGCCTGTGGGTAACAGTCACAAGTTTTCCTAGTCAGGCCTTAAACACCATCCACATGAATTCACCAGACAGTAGCACTGACCTACTTTCTGCCCCACCCAGAATTCAGGGTTAGCTAGTGCCCTTATTTGGGTTCTATAGGAATGCTGGGTCAGGGATCGGGATCTTTAGAAATCTTTCTACTACAACAGGCCAACTTACTAACCTCTTTTGTGCTGAGCAATCTGATAGGGAAGGGGATGTGGACCAACAAACCTTACTGAGTAGGGAGAGATGGGAGGTAGAGGGTCAGAAACATGCGGGAAAGGTACACAGAAGCCTATGCTAACTGGTGGGTGAATTTGTCCCTCAAGTAATGTCGCTTAAATGTGTGTGGATTTGTGGGGTTTTGTTTGTTTGTTTTGGGTGGGGGGGTGTCAAAGTGTAAGAGGCAAGGGTTCAGGACTTGTGGAGTCTACTTGTGACTAGATATGTTTCGGGGCATCTCTAATACTTGTTTTTCCCTCTGTAGACTCCTCCCTACACCTCTCAAATTAGCTTTAGGAATCATTATGATTTAACCCAGCACTAGAGGAACTTCTTAGGTAGTCTAGAGTTAAGACCACCTTCCTCACACAGACATGTCAACAGTTCAGTTTTATAAGCTAATGATGTCCTTTCCAGGGCACTCTGAACCTCACTGCCTAGATTGCGCTCCAGACCCACCTCCCTCTTCAACGTGCCCACCCTTCAGACCGAGTTCCTGGAAAAGCCTCCTACCTGTTCTTCCTCGCCCAATTGAGCTGGGGGTGTGGGAACTCAAACACAGGCATAGCCGCAGGAAAGAGCAAGGGCACCGGCCCCTGCTGCCACCCACCACAGCAACTCCTATGCCGAGGCATGTCCCAACTTGACCCCTCTTCTGAAAGTTCTGGGGGACTTGGATTTGCGGAGGGGACATGTAACCAGTCCTAAGCCCCCCTTAATGGGTGCTGACCCGAAGGAGGTCACAGTCGTGGCATCTTTGATCGGGGGTAAACAGGAAACCTCGGAACCCTCCCCGCCGCCCCCCCACCCCCACCCCAAGTAGGTTGGCAAGTGAAGCAGGGCCTGTGACCTGGCACAAGATGTTCTTCCAGGGGCACCCCCAGACCATTCCCGGGAGGGTAAAGCGGAAGGATGATGGGGGCAGGGTGTGGGTTATTAGGAGACCAGGGCTCGGCTACCCCTGACCGGGAGAACAAAAGCCGAGTTGCAGCCGCCTCGGCTGCCGCCTCCGCGGGCCGAGCTCTTTGTGACACTTTGTTTGGGACGCGCAGAGGGAAGCACTCCCCATCCTCTCCCCTCCCCCATCCTCCACCCCACCCCCGCTCCCGGAGAGTTTGGGGGCCCCCATCCCCCACCAGCCCTACCTGGGCCGGGGCCACACATCCACTCTGCCTCCTACCTCGGCCGCCCCGGCGCCCCCAGGCCCCTCGTGCC